CAGAAAAGGCGATAGAGTACATTAGAAACTTAAAAGAAAATCTGGAAAATGCACCAGTTTCTATTAACTCTTTTTTACATTGTATTGAACGCACTGTGACTGGTTTTGTGATCACCTACCCCAAAGTATATTGCGGTCTATTGGAAATCATAGATATTTTGGAAAAAGATTCACTTAGGATAAGTGATAATATTCTTGAAAAGGTACATGGTTCAGCTTTTCTTTGAAGGTAAACCTTCATTATTAGACCATCCATGTTATTTTCAAAAAATAAAAATAAAAAAAAAATATAAGCGTGCCTCATAAGAGCCAATGGTTTTACTGTCAAACTTATGTTAGCTGTTTCTAAGTAAGTAAATGTACATGTTACTGCTTACTAAACATTTTCAAATTTACATTAGTTAAGATTTGTGCAGTTTCAATTTTCTATTTGAAATTATTTTAGAAACATTCGATTCATTTATTATAGTGATTAATTGAAGTAAATGTGTAACGAATTGCTTGAAATACTGCAATCCTATTAGACGAAAACTTTTTTTTATACGAATTAAGTTGCTTTTTTCTCTGATATATTTCGTCTCATTTGAAAAAGAACTATGGCTTTTAGAGAATCTTAAATTACTAGATAAGTTACTTTAATTGCGACTTAGTATATCGTAATACAAAATCTTTTACGGTTTAAACATGTTAATCCTTAAAACAACGAAACCTTCAAAATCATAATTATTTTACATGATATCAGATTTACAATGAAGGATGTCAGTGCTATTGAACCATGTATCAAATCAATGCTTTAAGTAAGTGAAAAATGAATATAAAAACGATCTTCATAAATAAGTCGTTTACTCTAGACTCTTTTATCGAATGCAGACTATAAGTGTATATAATTTTTAGGTCAGTGTTTGATTTTAAGTATTTTTCTTGAATTATCATTTGAAAAATCATCCATAATTGAAAAACGATTAAATGTCTCGAAATTCAATCAGATATTGAAGTTAGTAACTGAAAGAGAGTTGGAATTATATATAAATAGAAAAAGTTTTCTAGTAAGTATCTCACTTAAAATTGCCACCATGACATCACTGCTGTACATTCATATACATCTTACTGAGAAGACCTTGTACATTAAATTACATGTAAAATTTATTATCAAATATCTGCAATAATTGATTTAAGTCTACACCAAAAGAAGCATTATTCTCCGAAAAACTATTTTGAGTCCCGTCATAACCAAATAAGCTCAGTCGAGTCTAGTTTGTCAACTGGTCACTTTTCTTGAATGTGGTTGCTGTTGTAATATAAAATTTACATTTAATTTATTTTCTAATAATACTGGTGTCTTCATATGGCTAATACTGATTATCAACCATTGCCATTCATTTGTATCAATAAAAGCATAAGCGTTTGTTTATGTAGAAATTGCAAACATGTATTCTATCATATTGTTATAATATGTGATACCATTCATAATGTGTGATATAGATATCATTGAAAAATGTATAAAAATGTAGTAGTTCGGATTATAACTGTCACCATTTACCAAGATATAAACGAAGGAAAAGACAGCTGAGGTATTTTTCCTATTGGAAACGTTAAGGGAAAACAAGAAGAAAAAAAAAATAAAAAACCAACAAACCACACTCCTTTTCGAATAGAACAATAAAACCATTAACGTTTTAACTCGATTATCCCCCTTTGATTGTTGTTTTGATAGACAATCTAAATGTAAAATGTTTCAGGTTTATAAACTTGTATGTTAGTCACTGATATTGTATTTATCTATATTGTATCATTAAGAAGTGCAGATAAATGTGATTTTAGTATAACGTTTTTGTTGTTATTTTGGCCATTCATGTAAGAAAGATGTATGAAATAAGATGGGTGTCAAGATACACATTTTAGAAATCTGATTTAAAGCAGCATGCCTGCGGATTCATGCTGATTTGAATGAATATTTCTAATGTATTAAAAATTAAAATGTTGTAGAGTGAATGAAGTCCTAAGATCTACGATTATCACAAAGATATGTCAACATATGCATAAATAGACCGTACCGCTTAAGTCAGGCCATAGAATTATGGTGATAAATACTGCAAAATCAGTCAATAATTTCAATGTTGATTTTCTTGATATATTTTGGTTCCGCGGGAGGCATGCAGCTTAAAGTGTCTCTCTTCTGAATGTTGATGAAATTTATTGGCAATGGATATTCAGCTGCTAAATACTTTGATAAAAAATTCATACCATCTTATTGCAATTTTTAATATGTTATGTATTCTATCAGTTAGAAGTGAAGTTACAGATTTTCTTATTGATTAAGATTCGTGAAGAGAAATGTATGAAACAATTAATTTTTTTTTGTCAGCAAACCAAAGTTATTGTCAAAGTCATGTCGGAGTTGCCGTACTTGTTGCCTCACATGTTTCTGTCCGCAAAACTGAACATTGATTAAAACTTTTTTGTGTGTATTGCCTTCATATTTTGCCACAACAACCCTTGGGCCAAGATGTCTATGTACACTAGACTGTCATTTCAAGGTCAAATGTTTGAATTTTGCTAGAACTAAGTTAATTTTGAATGGATTGTCTTCAAACTTTTAATACAACAATTTTTCAACATAACTAGACAGAACTTGACCTTCACTCATAAATGAATGACTTGAAGGTTAAATAATTGATTTTTTTATTATTTGCAGTAACTGGCTGTAACTTTGTTACTAAAGAATAGATAAAAGAATGGATAAACTTTATATTTAAATACAGCATTCTTTCAGACACAGTCTTCATAAATAAAATTGACCTCGGAACATTTAAGACATTGGCCTTGAAGGTTAAATTATTTAATTTTCACTTATTTTCGCTATAATTGGCTTTAACTTTGAAATAAATAAATAAATGGGTTATCCTCATCCTTTGACAAAGCAACTTTTTGACAAGACCATCTAAAAGGTTGAGCTGACCTGGACCTTTAACTTTAAATGACCTTGACTGAAAAGGTCAAATTATTGAATTTTGCGTACACTCTCAAAATTTTGGTATGTCTGTTCGGATTTCATTAATGATTTGACTTGCGACCAACTCAAACACACATTGAATTATTGAAATTTGACCTTGACTTTTATTTGACCATGACCATCAAGGTCAAATTTATGAACTTCTGTAAATCCTATAGCTATGCAATTTGGACCATGTGCACGGTTTTAGATGTAAAATTGAACTTTGAATCAGTTGACCGAGATTTTGCCGAAGTGATCTACTGTCTTGTCCTTTCCTTTCCTATTCAGCTATGATATTTGGACCATGTGAACAGTTTGTTTCAGAATAAAACTCAACTTTGATATCAGCTGACCTAGATTTTAATGCAGTGATCTATTTTTCTGAATTTCATGAATAGCTATGAAATTTGGATCATGTGTTCAGTTTTAGTATTATGGAAATGATTCATACGTCATGTATGTGGAATAACAACGCCTGCAACTAGACCTACCTATTAAGATGAAAAGAGGAAACATTGATTGTTTTTTCTTAATTTTCTTTTAAAAGATTTGTTGAACGCTTTTATTTGATTGCTTTGAGAAAAGGTTAAAAACGTAAAGCCCTGCCGTAGCTTTTGTTTATTGTCGAACAGTTTCTTCGAAGTTTCAAGGATGTCAATATAAAAAAAACAAATATTCAATTATTAACATTAAAGAGTTGACTTATTTTGTGCAAGATTTTGCATAAGGAAAGTTAGCTCGACTATTCGAAGAACTTTAAAAACTTAGCAATAAATGTGTTTCTTTCTTTAAAACACAAAATACAGTTATTAATGAATTATTATTATTATTGTTATTTTTATCATTAATTTTGAAAAGCTTCACATTATCTTTTATATATTTTCCCCCCGTTTTTAGTTTTACAAATCATTTAGTTATTCTTAAATACAAGCTCACTAGATTTAAAGTAACTACACTGATTTTATGCAAATAATTCAGTTCACCCGCCAAGCTGAATAGGGGAAGCATAAGATTAGCTTTTCTAGGGGTCGCTGATCTACGCGTGAGGCGAAATTTCTCCGCGACAATTTATCTACGATATCTAGGATATTGAGTTTATTGGTCATTTGTCTCTAATGGTTAATTCAGAATTATTGTGGGATCAGTAGCCAGTCACGAGCGGAGACAGTTATCCAGGAAAGCTGCAAAGGTGGGCCGACTGCAGAGATAATTAAAAGCCTATGTTTAAATCGGTGTAAAACAAGACAGGCCAGTTTAATTTAAACGACATTGTGCTGTAAAAAGTCAAACATTTGATGCATTTATTCTCACGGCTCCATTTTTCTTTTGAACGTTAAGGTTAATTTTTATCTTCCATTTATCTTTTGAAATAAACCCCTTGAAAGATTTCTATTGTCTGAAAAATAATAGAAATATCTAATAGTTACGCAAAATACAATACAATCTTTTGAACACATCAATAAATGTATAACAATCCTGATATATAATAATGCAGTCTAAATTATTTTCATATTGCCAATATACATATTAGTTTATTTATTGACGACGAAATTTTAGTTTTTATTTCTGATAAAATGGATTGTTTAAAAGAGATGATTCTGATAATATGATTACCTGAAATGGCTGTAGAATCTGATGTATTTGATGCAGTTCTTGCAAAAGAGTGACGGAAAATTATACCTTGAAGGTATTCTTGGACTTGGCGGACATATAACATTAGTAACAGTTTTGAAGATGCAAATTCAATATGTTTTAAGCAGAAAACAAACATAGAAGGCGAACTTATGTTGTGAACTTAATACTAAACCTTTTTATTTATTATGTGCCTTTTTGTCAGATGTAACTTGAATTCAGACTAAATGAGATTGTTAATTGTTTGTCCTTAACCTGAATGTACTGCTATACAAGTAAAGACTTGTTGTTAAAAACCACGTTGGTAAGTAATGAATGTTTCATTAACATATTATATAGCTGTGAAGCATTGAAAGACCATAAATGATATAAGATGGCTGATAATTATTCAGATGCCGTGGAAGTTATAAAAGAGACATGTGAAATATTCAAAACTCAAGAAGTGAAAGGACTTATCAAACATGTCACCCATGATCTAAATATTAAATGGAAACATGCGAAGATAAAAATTGCAGTAACTGGAGACAGTGGCGCCGGTATATCTAGCTTGATCAATGCTTTACGAGGTATGCATCAATTGGACCAGAATGCAGCAAAAGAAGGAGTTAAAGAAACAACTAGAGAACCGGCTTCATATACCTTTCCGGATAATGATCAGATAGAACTTTATGATCTTCCAGGTGTAGGAACCTTGTCACATCCGATTGAGTCATACATGCAAGATATGAATTTTGAACAGTATGATTTTGTTCTGATCGTGTCTTCTGAGCGGTTTTCGCAAAACAATGCATTGATAATTAAGGTATTACAACACTTGCAAAAGCCATTTTATCTTGTGCGATCTAAAATTATTGCGGATGTTGAAAATCAAAAGTTTACACAAACAAAAGATGAGGTCCTCAAAAACATTCGTGATGATTGTTACTTAAATTTACAAAAGTTAGGTGTTGAAGTAAAATGTGTCTTTCTGATAGACAGCCATGTCCACCAAGACTTCGAGCTCGGAAAACTACAAGCGACTCTTATACGCGATGTCCTTGACACATTTAAGACTACTTTCATTTTAACTTATAGAACCATGACGAAAGAAATCATTGAGGAGAAGGTAAATGTATTGAAGAGTCGAGCGCCTAGAGTAGCATTAATGGCAACTGTTACTGCTCAGTCAGAGACAAACGAGATTGTTTTAATGCAAGAAATATCTTTTTATAAGAAACAACTTGGTCTTGATGACGAGGCACTCGGCGAAACATGCAAGTACCTTGAAGTTGATAGGGCAAGATTGCAGGAAATGATAGCGTTTTGTGATTTTGTTCTTTATCCAGAAAGAGCTATAGAGTACATCAAAAACGTAGAAGAAAATTTGGACAATTCACCACCTTATTTTATCAATCTAGTACGTGGTATTGGACGCGTTTTAACTGGTTTTGTAAGCTCCTATTCCAAGGTATATCGCGGTCTTTTGGACATCATAGATACCTTGGAAAAAGATTCACTTAAAATAAGTGATAATGTTCTTGAAAAAATACGTGGTCCGTCTTTTCTTTGAGGCATGCCTTCTGCATTATATTATCCATGTTATTTGGTCAAACTTTTACGTGCCTGCTTAAAGTCAATAGTTTTTACACTATCAAACTTATTGTTTGTGTACTTTAAATATAAGTATAGGTTATTGTTCATTAGTAATCATTAACAGATTTAAATTGGGTCAAGAGTGGAGCAGTTTTGAAATCAATTTATATACATTTAATTGCCTGATAAGAGTCATTTTTTATCAAACTGATGTTGGTGTGCATTAAAATAAGTGTATATTATTGTTTATTACTGTACATTTATATATTTAAAGTATTCAACAGAAAGCAAAACACTCAGTGTCGGAAATAATTAAAAGTAGAAAAATAAAAACCTTATTGTGTTCTTTTAAACTCGATTATTTTCGTTTAATTACCTTTCTGACAGAAGATTAAAATTTAAAATGTTTCATGCTTTTAAAATTGTTTGTTAGTCACTGAAATATTGTATCTTTCATATTATATCTTTTGGAAGTGCAGATACATGTGTGATTTTTGTGTAACATTGGTAAATATGTTGCATTTATTCAAAACATTTCTTAAAGATTTACCCCTTAAATCTCAAATTATTACGACAATAGGTCAACATATGCACAAATAAACCGTTCCACGTTAGTCACGCCTTAAAAATACTGTAATAAATAGTGCAAAGTCAGTCATTCATCTCTAGGGTTGAATTTCCTGAAATATTTTGGCTCAGCGCGAGGTTTCACTCTTCTGAATTCTGTTGAAATTCATTGGCAATATCTATTTAGCCATTACATACTTTGATAAAAAAAATCCTAACATTTTATTGCAATTTTTAACATGTAATGTATTCTATCAGTTACAAGTGAATACAATTGTATAATATGCATGTGAAATATACAAAACAAGCGTTCACCTTTTTACTAGGGCGAAATCTACCTATACAAATATCTGGAAACAAAGTGATCCCTCGGAAGCATTAATCACAACAAAATATCAAGAGAATTGCAGACTCGGTTTGATTGAGTCTGTACATGAAAGATAATGAATATATGCAACATCCCTCACGCCCCTTAGCACCGGCTTGAGCGGTACTCAATTCTCAACACACAAAAGTGCTGGCATCAATGATCCCGAAGGACCAGAAAATATGTTAAATTCTGAAAACAAGTGATCCCTCGGAAGCATTAATCACAACAAAATTACAAGAGAATTGCAGACTCGGTTTGATTGAGTCTGTACATCACTGAAGTGAAGTACGGGACAACTTTTTACAGCTGCCAACTGCACTTGACACCTGCTGTTGTGAAGTATAATAATCTGGAAACAAAGTGATCCCTCGGAAGCATTAATCACAACAAAATTACACAAGAGAATTGCAGACTCGGTTACACAGTTTTAATAAACATGTGGGGGCATTATCACACACATTGCATGAGGTTGAAGGTTATGATTATATAATATATTACATATATTTTGGAAAGGGGATAGTGATGTGCAAGATAATGGTGATAATGGTTAGCTATAGAAAGTCACTGGTTGCTTTGAAAAATCAGTTGTTACAAGTGAATAAAACCGTCAAGCATGCATATGAAATATACAACAACAAAAAAACAAACAAAAACGATCACCTTTACAAAATCTAGCAATTCAATTTTTTTATATCGAGGGGGACATTTATCACCTACTGGAGTGCATTTCATGTGATTAAAAGTAAGATAACATACTGATTTACATATTATAAGGAAAGAGGAAAGCGATGTTAAGGATAATGGTGATACTGGTGATCTAAATAAAGTCACTGGTTGCTTTTAAAAATTCGACTGTTGCTATGGTTGACACTAGCTACTAAGACAATTCAATGGTTGCTATCAAGACATTTGTTGTAAAAGACTGGCGAAGAAAAAGGTTACTAACAATTCACTGGTTTCCATATGGTCATTGGTTGCTATTGAATTTTGATCCAAAGGATATAATTTGAGAAAACGTGGAAGAGGTTCCATTCCAAATATATCAATGCATGCTTTTACTAATTCAGAAGAAAGGATTTTACAAATACAATTTTTTATCTGGTAACCGAATGACTCACGGTGCTGGGCTTACTTTACTCCATGGCTTTTGTTTGCACAAACTTGGTCAGGTTCCACTTTCCAGTGCACATGCTAAATATCTAAGCTGGTTCAGAAGAGAATATGTTTTACATGCATGTAAGAAAAATGTCATAACCCCCGGGGCGAGAACAAGAGGAGACATTTTTTTTAAGTTTGTAACAGAAACATAATTATAAGAAAACTAATGACCCTCCGCGGACGGTTTACTTTTGACCCTAAGGCTATAATCTAAACAAAGTTGATAGAGGTCAACTAGCCTAAGTCTGATGCAAAACAAGCATTTGCAGGTTCAGAGCAAAAAGTGTTTTCACGTTTAAACTTATATACATTTAAGGAAAAACTTTGACCCTAGAGACATTTTTATAAAATATCTTTGTTCTAACATTAGCTACTAAGAAGGAATTATTATTATTATTATTATCATTATTATTATTATTAAGTTTATACTATATTCAAAATAAGGAAAAAACAAATTGACCCCCGGTATTACAATTTGAACACACTTGTTTGACATACTGGACGATGCCAAAATATCTAAGCTCTAGACAATGTGTTTTTGAAAAAAATATTTATTTTATAAATTGCATTTTTAAAATATGGTTTTAGTGTCTGTGATGCCCGTATGTACGCATCACTCTGAAACCATGTTACCATATACAACCTGTGTAGAATGTCACCAACGGATCATTCATATGAAGTTTGGTCCAATCCGACGAATGATAAAAGAGGACGTGTTGTTAAAAAAAATTGTGTTTATCATGCACAACCCACATATTCCCATCACAGAACTCACCTCTTAACAATACGTGCTCAGGCAAGCGTTGACATTTCCACCCATTACCATATTTTATAAATGACATTTTAGCCTAATTTGCATATAGATCGAGGACACTTACATGTGCTAGTATTGATGCTAAAAATTGCTGTTGTATCTTTTAAAATGCCTGAAACATCTTTTACAAGAATTTGTAACAGAGTTACCAACGTTCCCCGCATCGGGGAAGTTTTATATGAAGCGTAAAATTCTGCTATTTTAAAAGATTGAGATATGGATCAAAGGACTTTCAGTCCAAAATTATGATCAATGCTAGATCTGCAAATGAAACAATAAATTTATTAAAGAAATAAAATGAATATTAAGATTTGACCTCTTAGTGTGACCTTGACCTTGGAGGTAGGGGTCCAGGTGTTGTGCATGACATATCGTCTTATTATTGTAACTATTTGTACCAAGTATTTTCAAAATCCCTTGAACTATAAAAAAGTTATAGATGGGACGAAAAATATACCCTCTAAGAGACTTTGACCTCTACATGTGACCTTGACCTTGGAGGTAGGGACACTGGTGTTACACATGACATATCATCTTATCATTGTGACTATTTGTGCCAAATATTTTCAAAATCCCTTGTTCTTTCCCTTGTTCTATGAAGAAGTTATGGACGGGACACAAAATATACCATATAACAGACTCTGTTAATTTTTGACAAAGTTTGACCTTGACCTTGGAGGTAGGGGTGCAGGTGTTGTACTTGACATATCGTCTTAGTATTGTGACTATTTGTACCAAGTTATTTCAAAATCCCTTGAATTATGAAGAAGTTCTAGATCAGACACAATATATATCCTTTAACAGACTATGTTAAGTTTTTTTACCTGGAAATGTGACCTTAACCTTGCAGATAGAGATGCAGGTTTGCGCATGACACATCGTCTTAGTATAGTGAATATTTGTGCCAAGTATTTTCAAAATCCTTTGATATATGAAAAAGTTATGGACCAGACACAAAATATACCCTAAAACAGACTATGTTAATCTTTGACCTCCAAGTGTGACCTTGACATTGGAGGTAGGTGACCAATTGTTGCGCATGACACATCATCTTATTATTGTTAAAAATTGTGGCAAATATTTACAAAATCCCTTCAAAAATAAGAAAGTTATAGACCGGACACGACATATACCCTCAAATAGACAATGTTAACCTTGAATGAGCAAGTGCGACCTTGACCCTGGAGGTACGGGTCTGGTTTTGTGCATGACATATCATCTTATTATAACAAACATTTGTGCCAAGTTATTTCAGATTCCTTTAATAAATGACAAAGTTATGGACCGGACACAAAAGTGTGACGGACAGACAGACGGACGGACGGACATTCCAACTTTTTGGCTTTCGGGGCTATTTTCTTTGTTATTTTCTTTGTTTTCTAAGGGCTATTAGCCCCTAAACCCTTTGATCACGGAATGAACCTATTGTTCTCTTTCGTTCTCTTTAGTTCTCTTTACTATTATACCTAAACTCAAAATGTTTGCACGGACGGACGGACAGACGGACGGAGCCTACTTCTATATCCCCTTTTTTCTTCGAAAAAGCAGGGGACAATAATGCTTGAAGCAAATGCATTAAAATATGGGTTATCATTTAACACCCTGCTTAAAAGTAATCAGTATTTTAAACGAGAATAAAAGAATGCAAATAGACTAACACATATCTACGTCATGTAATTTAAAGAAGTTGTAATGTTAGGAGAATGCAGAAGTTACAGTAAAGTTTACATTCTTTTAGAAAAAGAATCCAATTTCATCCGACTTACAGATGAAAGTAAGTACTAGTAGTGCAAAGTCCTTTAGTTTTGTTGTTGTTGTTATGTAATTTGTTTGGTAAAAAAATCTGGAAACAAAGTGATCCCTCTGAAGCATTAATCACAACAAAATAACATAAGAATTGCAGACTCGGTTTGATTGAGTTTGTACATAACAAGTGTTTGCCAACCGAATTTAAGTTACCTTTTATGCCATCATTTAGTGTTCAAGTATTGAAAGTATTCATAGTATTTAAGACCTTTGTATTTGTACATTTATTTAGAACGTATCAATAAATGAGCTACATGTCCATTAAGACAATCATAATTTACATTTATGTCTATAATGACGATTTGAAAATAATTCTTATTTTCAATTTTTAAAATTGTTCAGTTATTTATTATCCTTTTAACATTTAAAAAAAATGATACTAGTTTTTATACCTTCAAAATATTGGCAAGACAAAAAAATCACTCTTTTGGTGTGTTTTTACACATATCTTCACAGTAAAGTGATTTTTAATGTAGAGTTGTCATTATATTTCCAATTACAGTTTGAAATAGGATATATCACCTTCACGGATATCTTTTGTACCTCTGACAATATGGGGAATATGATATAATCTTTTGTGTAAGTAGCGAACCTGTCTATATTTAAGCAACCTAAATTATTTTTATTTTGTCGATAAAACTGACACATCTGTGGATGAATAATTGACGACCACACTTTAATATAGTAATAGTCATTATTGGTCACCAAAATCAAAATTTAATTTAAATCTTATTTATTATTACTTCATGGATTTTTTTCTTGAATGGCTGCATGTAGAAGTTTTTGTGGAATTAACGAGGATTTTGCCATAGTATTAATATGGAACAGAAAAACGTTTTCAATTGACAAGACTGCAGCAACGGGAGGTTACTGAAAAGAAAACAAGAGATATTGCTTTTTATTTTTTTATTCACGGCTAATGATTAGGTAGTTTAGACCTTTATGATTCATATAAACGTTGATACAAAAGAAAATAATAAAAAATAATAATAATCACTTATTTAACAGCTATACAGGAAGTAGGTATACATGACTGTACGACTGTCGCGCATATCAATAAGCAACACATAACACATATATACATTTTATGTGTCGTTATTTTGCAATAAGCCGCTGTAGTTATTGCTAGCGATTAATTAGAACGAAAATTACCAATTTACATAAATCATTAAGCAGTTAATATCGTTCTCAAGTAAGAAACAAAAAATCAACAACAATGTAAAGATTTTTATGTTCTGAACGATATCGCATTATGAGGGTTAAGTTATATTGTCTATACAAAAAATAAGTGTAGGAGAACATTGTTTAAAATTTTCCTTTAGCATGCATAAGTTCGTAGCCGCCGAATATTAATCAGATTGACGAGTGTTTTGATGTTCTTTCTCTTTTGTATCATAGTCAAACATAAAAACACGTTCCCTGTTGTCAAAATATGAAACCCCAGAAAAAAGTAACCAATGAACGAGCATCTGAATATGATATTTCATTCGCATTCCCTTTCTCTGCCGTCACAATAAGTAAACCGCAGCAAAAATGAACCAATCAATGTGCATGCACTGGAGTGCGGTTAACTGATAACTTCACTCCAGTTACCGCACTGTGCATGTATATGTATACAATTTAACTCTGACATATTTTCAACAGAAAGGTCTCCAAACATTGATACAATACCACTTAAGTTCATGTGACAATAGGTATATCATGAGACCTTGACACGGCAGTCATTTCATACTTTCTTTTTTTACGCATGTGAGCCTGGGAACGGGACCGAAGATTGCGGCGCATATTCCCGACCCTGTACCGGCTTTACATATTGTTTGTCTGTCCTTTGAATATCTTATCATAATTTTCAATAGCGCGGTAGGAAATTTTGTGACTTTTATGGTTAGGCCTACTGACAATATGGCGGCCTAAACATCTAGCTTCACATGTGTTTTTCTTGTAATTTTTTTTATAAACTTACTTACGAGACCTGTTGCAGCCTACGCTTAATAAATAATTGTTGCCGCCTTTACCTTATTTCCCATCCCTGTACTTATAGTTTTTACAAACACTAAACATTCTACAGAAATTTTAAATGTCGACACTTATTTTGCAGGTAACATTCACTCAAAATTGAACTTTTAAGAAATTGCTGAAACAGTGTCGAGTTAGCAGAGAGGAAAGATCAAAGAACTTCATTATTTGAAAATGTAAAATATAAGGCTTGTTGAATGTTGACTGGTATTTTTTCAAGTATGAGAGTGAAAAATGATTTTGGTAACATACACGTGTTATTGTTTTGTTGATAACTCCCACGCAATATTTTTTGTAAAATCATTGTCGACATTTTAAATTCTTTCAAGTCACAGTATGTAAAAACAATAACAAAGGGATGGAAAAAAAATAAGGTATAGGCGACAACAATTCTTCATTCCGCGTATGCTGCAGCAGGTCTTGCATGTAAGTATTAGGGAAATAATAAAGGATTACCAGAAAAACACATGTGTAACGAGGTGTTTAGGCCGCCATATTGTCAGTACACATTAGCAGCATTAGCATATAAGTCAGGTGATTCCCTATCGTAAATAGTGTGGTATTTGAAAAAATAAACTCAATTTACTGAATTCTGCCTTTAAGAATATCTGTCAAATTATATGGTATACGAGTATATGTATTGAAAAAAAAAAGAATTTTGTTATACCGTGTAAAATTGATATTTGAGAGGCCGTACATTCAGGTAATTCAAAAAAGATATTTAGAAATAGGTGAAACATTTATAAAAGCCGTTACGGGATCAGAACTAAGCGCAGCGAGTTACGAACTATTTTTTTTCCTTTTAAATCTGTGTACTCATAGTCACCATGACTATCCAGTAACGCGGGAATTAGAATATAACGCAGAAATTGCGCAAAAATAACGACAAGTGTGGGCAAAGCTATGACCAGCAAGTAGCAAGGTAAGTAAATGGAACTTAATCAAAATGAAATAAATAAATAAGCTCATACGGCTGTCATGACATTGTACTTTCACCAGCAGGCATTACAATTTTTCGGTGTATTTTTGGGGGGTTGTATATTTAATAATTAGTATTTTCTGCTATTTTTACTTTAAAATATGTTTTTTTTTCTTTCGTAAGTTACAGCATAATTATGATAAGAAAAGGAAAAGAAAAACAATATATCTTTTTAAATTTCGGTTTTGATTTCTTTTGGACGGCGGTTGTCTTTTGTTCTTTAAATTGCTATTGTCTTATTGAATATGAAACCAGTGGTTCACAACATAAATCTTTTGAGATCCGAACACGATCAAATAAAAATAAATAGAACATTTAGATAAGGTACTGTCATTTTGCCAGCACACCTAATATGTTTTAAGTGACCAATTACGGAAGCTCTTGAAGGACAATTATTACTAATGTGCCCATTATATTTTACTTATTATGTATTACTTATTCCTATTCTCACATTACTGTAGTATTTCAAGTTTGTACTGTTTTAACATTCAAGAAGTAGTTAAGTGCGATATGATCTTTAAATTTGACATTGTTCCCAGTTATGTGAAAATGGTTAGTGACAGGTAATGATGATAATAATAATAATAATAATAATAATATTAATAATAAAATAATAATTTATAGTATCTCGACTAAACAATATATTTTGGTTAAAAAAGCAAAAGGATCATACGAATGTCGCAGGGTCATATTAATGTGTCAATGTTATATGTTTTTGTCAATGTATGTCCCGCATTGTATACCGTAGATTATGTTATTTACATGTCCATGTCATGTCTGTTGTATTTGGTAATGTATATATATTGTCCTATATTTATGTCCCTTTTACTATACTTCATCCATTCATCCTTTTATTCATTTACTCATTCGTTTATTCATTCATTTATTAACAAGTATGTACTAACCACTGGTACAGGGCTCCATCCTAAATATTCTATTTCTGCACTAAGTACCTTCACGCATACGCACTCGTACTTAAGATTTTCATGGCGCGAGCCAGACTTCATATTGTTTGATAATAAATATTTTCTGAAAGCGCGTCTCTGTATTTTTACAGGTAAATATGAATGTCTGTATTGATCCCGTATGTTGTTCTACATTTTGCCATTCATGATTTTGTGTCATTTGTCATTATTTTGTATTTGCACTCGTACTGAAGATTTTTATGGCGCGAGCCAGACTTCATATTGTTTGATAATATTTATATATTTTCTGAGAGCCCGTCTCTGTACTTTTACAGCAACCCTCAAGACCAGAACCTCGTAACAGCACCTTTCCCTTATAGTTAGAGTGGACTTCGACAAATGGCGCCCAACGATGGGCCGTGATTGTATATGTCATAGGGTTCTTATTATATATAGTAAGTGTCTTTGTGATTTGTTACTAATCTTCGGGAGCCTGGGTCACCATTACGGAAATTATCAATAAAACAAGTAAAATGATATGATGTGTCGTTTTTATATACAGTCCATTTCTTTAATTACAATCCATCTTACTCGATGATCTCAAATCCCGTTATCTACCTCACTTTTCATGCTACGTTTCAGATTACCATACAAGTTAGATTTCAATTTCTGGTTTTAAAAATGCAATATATAGAAATCTTTATTCTCACAGCTCAATGCATCTTTTGAAATGAAGCCCCCCTTGAAGGATTGCCTTTGTCTGAAAAATGATATATATCTAATTCTAACGCAAACATACAATGCAATCTTTTGAATTATAATTTTAACAAACTTGCTATATTATAATGCAATTATTACAATTTTGTCAATACTTATTTTAGTTGATTTATTGACAACGAAACTTAGGTTTATTTATTATCTGTCACGTAGGCCACTAAATGGATTGTTCAAAAGATCACATGATACTGGTATCTATTTATAATAACATGTAATGGCTGATAAATCTTAGGTATTTGGTGGCATATTTAAGATAAAAAAGTACTACTACTACAATGTATAAATAAATCTGTTATTGGTATTTTTAGTAACGTAGGTCATTTCTATCGGATATATTTTGAAATATCGGTTAAATACCCGGTTTAATCCGCTTTTAACCTGCCTTATCAGGATAAACTCATTAATACGGTGGAGGAAGTGTTTGTTCTTATGATAACTTGTTTGGAGTTCTTATGATAACTGTCACGGGGTTCCTGGAAAACGTTACGGATTTCTGTGGAAAACTTTTCTATATACTTGGAAAACTCGCGTAAAAAATTGTTATTTTTATCTTTAAATGGGGAGTTTGAGGTGCTCAGTCATATTCGATCTTGACTGTCACAATAGTTTTTTACTTAAATTTAAATCTCGGATTATTTATCAGGTATATTTTCTCTATCTACTATTTTTCATGCAATGTAAAACTCTAAGAAATACGTTTTTCAATCTTAAACTGTGTCTCTCAAGAATATTTTAATTCTATAATTTTCGCAATTTCCCATACTTTGCGTATTAAATAGTCATCGTAATTTATATTAATTTATTGTAACATAAATAACTAATATCTTGGAATTGTCAAAGGATAATGTATAACTTTAAGTGTTTCCTTTTTGTTAAATCTTAGACTTAACTTTATATATTAATTTGGAAATATAAAAAACTTTATATATTTATTTGGAAATAAAAATATTGTTATTTTGGTTATACGTATCTCATTTCACAAGTAACATTTTATACATAATTGTCCCCCGCCTTTTCGAAGAAAAATGGGGGATATAAAAATAGGCTCTGTCCGTCTGTCCGCCCGTCTGTCCGTCCGTCACACTTTCGTGTCTGGTCCATAACTTTGTCATTTATCAAAGGAATCTAAAATAACTTAGCACAAATGTTTGTTATAATAAGATGATGTGTCATGCGTAACAACCAGACTTGTACCTCCAGGGTCAAGGTCGCATTAGCTCATTCAAGGTCATCATTGTCTATTTGAGTGTATATGTCGTGTCCGGACCATAACTTTCTAATCTTTGAAGGGATTTTGTAAATACTTGCCATAATTGTACACAATAATGAGTCGATGTGTAATGCGCAACAACCGGTCGCCTACCTCCAAGGTCAAGGTCACACTTGGAGGTCAAATATCAACATAGTCTGTTATAGAGTATATAGAGAATAACAGGTTACTGTCTTTTGAGAAAGGGTTTCTCAGACGAGGTGAGATATGGTCCCTTTCCGGATCATATCTAGCCGAGTCTGAGAAATCCCTTTCTCAAAAGACAGTAACCTGTTATTCTTTTTATCATGCCTCTATTATGATTTTGCATCTTATTTTTTTAATTCGGGGCGCTAATTTCTGAAAGTACGGTAACCACAAGAGGGTTATACGCCAAAAAAGTAGTCCGAGGGTTTTTACCAATAATTTTATAACACAACACAATTTTTGGTACAATTTGCTTTAACAATTTATTTACTGTGTATTATCATAAATATTTAGCAAAGTCAATTACACAATACCAACAATAAACATCATCAGTGCTGATCTGGCGTAGGAACATAGTGTTCTCAAGTCACTGACTGAGAAAGGTTGCTGTTCTCAGACAGGCTTTATCAGGCAGTTGTCATAGTAATGGCATGATAAATTTTGTGTCCGGTTCATAACATTTTCAAAGAATTTTGTAAATACTTGCCACAAATAGTCACTATAATAAGAGGATGTGTCATATGCATCACCTGAATCCCTACCTCCAAGTTCAAGGTCACTCTTAGAGGTAAAAAAATAAAACAGTCTGTTTTAGGTTATACTTTGTGTCCAATCTAGAACTTCTTCGGGTTTTGAAATAACTTGGCACAAATTGTCATAATAATAATAGGGTATGTCAAGAACAACACCGGCAACCCTACCTCCAAGGTCAAGGTCACACTTAGAGGTGAAAGGTTAACAGATGCTGTTGTATGGTATATTTTGTGTCCCGTATATGACTTCTTCATAGATCAAGGGATTTTGAATACTTGGCACAAATAGTCACAATGATAAGATGATATGTCATGCGTAACACCTGTGTCCCTACCTTCAAGATCAAGGTCACACTTAGAGGTCAAAGATTTACATAGTCTGTTATAAGGTATATTTTGTGTCAAGTTCATACGTTTTCATAGATCAAAGGATTTCAAAAATACTTTGCACAAATAATCACAATAATAAGACGATATGTCAGGCGCAAAACATGGATCCCTACCTCCAAGGTCACACTTAGAGATCAAAGATTAACATAGTCTGTAATAGGGTATATTTTGTGTCAGATATATAACTTCTTCATGGTTCAAGGGATTTTGAAAATACTTGGCACACATACTTACAATAATAAGACGATATGTCATGCACAACACCTGCACCCTTACCTACAAGGTCAATGTCACACTTAGAGGTCAAAGCTTAACATGATGGATTTTTAAATTCCGTGTTTCATTTTATTTCTTTAAAAACTTTATTATTGCATTTGCAGATCTAGCATCGATCATAATTTTGGACTGAAAGTCCTGAGAGCCATACTCAATCTTTTGAAATAGCACAATTTTATGCTTCATATAAAACTTCCCCGAGGCGGGGGACGTTGGTAACACAAACTTTTTTTGTTTATAATAATAATAACACAGCTGGTTTTATACATTCAAATCACACTCTTTTTTCATCATTTTTAATTTAAAGCTATGTTAAAGTTCAATTTATATTATCTGTTGATCAGGAGTTTTAACGCATGCAAAGCGAGTTATTGTTAAAATTCCCCATATAACTTCACTCTCTGAATTGGTGTGTGTTCGTGCTTCATTTTCATGATTAAGAATCAAAATTGGAAACGTTTATTTCATATCTCCTATGGTTTAGTAATTACGATAATGTCTTTGAATAATTTCTGAAAATAATGACGCTTTTGTTTTCATATAAATATGGCCCATTTAACAGAAATCAATTATCAGAGACGTGTGCCAATGACACTTGACCTCAGAGTCATTATTAATTTTTTAAATGTTAACAAACCCGTAAAATAAATCCATAAAGTTTGTTTCAAATAATCGTTCAGAAGCTACGGACCGATTTATGAAACGCGTTAAATCTTTACCACGCTGTATTAATCTATTAAAGATGAATCGATTTATAACTTGATGATAAAAATCGATTACACATCTCTACAAAGTAAATTATTTTAAATAAATTTCTGTTCATATTGATTATTATTTGAATACAATCATTAACAAGGGGCAGGACGTAAAGTGGTTGCACACTTGGTTCAAGCGAGCGAATTAGTTGCAAACTTGACAAAATGGCGAACACGGCGTAATTTTTTGAAACGGGTGAACGATTTTTTTCCCAGGCAAGTGGGTTTCTTTGTTATTTTGAAGTTCATTAGTATGTCTATTCCATAATGCAATATATATGTTACACTCGGTTAAAGGTTTCAGCATCCTAGATTCTGTTTTGACGAAGTTATTGAAGATATAAACTGATCATGTAGATATTTTGAAATTTGACATGTGACTGTTTTGGTCAAGTTTTCTCCTAATTTATTCGAATTTGTAAGTTTTGAACTGCATTTAACAATAACAAAATATGTTTCTGTCAATGCTGTACAAGTGGTTTAGTTCGCAAGTCGGAAGATAACGTTCAATACACAAAAATATCTTGTTCAAGCACATTTTGGTTGCAGACTTATTCTTATTCTATTGAAATCCATAGTAAAACTGTAGAAGGTTATATTTTTTTTCAATGGCAATTATTGACATTTATGTTCTGTTACTTGATTTTGTTATAAATGTTATTTATACTTTCTTCTTTTACAACAATTATGCCCTTTATGTTTCAAATTACATGGCTTTCAGTTCAATACTATAATCATCAGAAAAATCCTGCAAACAAAATAATAGCATATAGAAAAATGTGCATTGATACTTCGATTCTAAAATATGTCATCATATGTAAAATGCAAATGAAAACTACATGCAAAACAAACGTATGTGAGAGTACTGTTGTATGTAAGTGAATTGTTTTCATCATAAACATAAAGACATGTGCACACATACGATGTTACTCGGCAAAATTTTCAACGTTTATCAAAACCACAAGAAATGTTAATTTGTTTGTTTCGTATGTAAAGATCAGCAGTTGCTTTAGACATAAAGTATGTAAATGTACTTAAAATATTTTTACAAACCAAAAGTTAAAATGACATGCTTGTTTACAATATTTCGGATTTAATGTATATCATATGTGAATTGGTATTCTAAAGATGGTTTTGATGATAAGATCATAATATAAATATAAATGATATACGATTGGTTATTTACATTGACTGATATGTGACAAAACTACTTAAAGTCATTGTTCGAGTTAGGGAATTTGGAAGATGTTTTGATTGGTCAATGATAAGGAACAATTTAAAGAAACATGTGAATAATGCCCTTGTTTCAATGTTAATATAGTTTTTATCTACTATATAATCAAATTTATTTCAAATCTCAAAAAACGAACAATAATGAAAGCTATGAGTTGCTATTTTTTCTTTTCCTTTACAGTTAGTCATCATGCCAAGATATAAAAAAGTCATAAAATATCCTGGAAGGGTGTTTTGAATGCAATGTAAAATAAAGCTAGATTTAACGTGTGTCTTTCAAAAAAAAAATCTTTGCAGATTTCTTCGCCCTTAGTCAATGCGGGCGTCATATATGTCGAAAGGCACTTAATACTGGTTGATTTTAATGGAAATGCCGTCACATCGATTGCCAGAACTAGTCTATATAATGCTTAGAACTTTAGATGAACAAGGGCGAATCACTTAAGCACCTTATGTTAAACATGTGCTTTTTCACATATGCCTTCGTTACCCTGGAGCGCTAATGTGACATTCATACAAGTACTTAGGACCCGAGTCTCAGACTGCTGTAGATTAGCGTTAATGTCTTATATCAATTCATCGCAAAACGCTATAAGTTTCAGTATATATTATGGTGGCATATTTCTTCCACAAGATAACCATATTACTAGCTTGTAAATTAAGAGGTTAACTAGTTACGTAGCTAGTTAACCTCTTAATAATCTAGTAAGTTATGTGGTTAACTAGTTAATTTTTTCAATAAAAAAAGATCATAACGGAATATAAATGCATGTTAGTGCCTATAACTGCCATCCTTTTATTATTTTACCAGCTTAATATTAAGAGGTTAACTAGTTACGTAACTATTTAACCTCTTAACTAACCAGTTAATTAGGAGATAAACTAGTTACGTAACTTGTTAACCTTTTAATTAACTAGTTAGTTAAGTGATTAACTAGTTACGTAACTAGCTAACCACACAACTAACTAGGTGATGAAGAGGTTAATAAGTTACGTTACTAGTTAACCTCTTATTTTAACTACTTAATTATATGGTTATCTGGTGGCAGAAATATGCGACCGTAATATATAAAACATTTATATCTGATGAATGCTATTTGTCAATGAGTATGCCTCAAACGTTATCTTGTTGATGAAATAAAAACTGCAATCCACCGTACAATGACCTCAGACACCAATAATTAAACTTAAATTACTTTAATGTTATTGTAAAAAGCTGTGATGCTATTATGTTTGAAACAACGAAAGACATTATAATTAGCACAGTAAGCAAAATTTATCAATGAAGCAAATAACTTAAGGAAAATTTACATAAACGGAAGAAAATTACAACAGTGTGTTGTATTGTTTATATGTTAATATGACATGTATTTCAGACTTTTTCAGTTATTGCTCCATTCGGTTACGATATTACACCCCTTATGCACTATCTCCACTTTGGCGTGGGTTCAAACCCCAGAAAAAGGCAATTTTTTTTCTTTCTTTTTTTTTTTTTAACATTTTTATTAATCTCTCAGATCCCTTATGGAAAAAAAGTGTTTCATTTTAATTATATAATTATTGTAGGTATTTATCTACTGAATAATCGTAATTTAATAGCAAATATGATACCAGATATTTTCAAAGTGTAATAGAATAAAAACAACACGGTAAAAGTATTTTATATTTTGCAAGACCAACCAATATACATTTAAGAAAATTTAGGCAAACTTTGAAAACAGACCCTCATTATTGAAACTTTAGGGATATTTTAAATAACTTAGGCTTTTTTTACAATAGGAAATAGTCAAATAAGTTTTAAAAGTGGGTGGGGTAGGGTTACATTTTTATACACATTAAAAACATTTCGTTTAAAAACAATCATTTTGCTTGTTTATATTGTTACCTAAATGGCATTATTTGTTTCTTAACAAAGAGCAATAGGATAACATTTTCATAATGGTGATATTATAGATTATTTAGAGTTTTCTCATTTCTGAAAAAAGCCCGGCTAATGGCAAAGTTTTAGTCCAGAAAAATTTACATAACACATACACCACACGTTAAATTTTGTTTAAATTTTGCATACAGGTGACATTTAAGGCATATAACTGTCCTATGTTGTCAATTTTACAGTTCCTTATAGTGCCCATTAGGGGTGTTCTACCTTAAATGAACGTTTCTTGTTGTGAAGATATCTTTATGTTTCAATAATATGCAAATGAATGTCTTAATCTCTTCAATGTTTATATTAGCCATATCTCACATATGAACATTTGATTTCTCAATCAATATTGCTTTTATGTCAACTTACTCACTTATAAGAATGAATGTCTTGTAAATATTCTTATTTATATTTACATCACTCTTTGTTAAATTGAAAACCTGATTGCACTTTGGGTCGGAGGCTTTACATTACGAATAAACACATTGTCAGTCCTAATCAGTTAAAAGTAGATGATTTTAAATATACAAATATTTAGCAAAGGCATCTTAATTTAAACATCATTGATTTGTATCGAGTTTTTGTTTAATTATATTTTTTCCACGAGATGATTTCTACGAGATGTTTTGAAACAATGTTTCTTTGATACATTTTTATGCTGTTTTTAGATAACTTTGTGTTACTATTGAAATATTGTAATAACTATTCCACCTTCTAAGCCATTTTACCTTTATTATACTTTTCAGAATAATGGCGCTCGACGTAGATTTGGTTGCATTAGCAGTACTTGCCATCATTAACACAGGTAATAAGCATGAACATGTATTCATCTTATCTAAACGTCATTGCCTGGAATGAAAAGTTGGTTGTAGTGCTATAAGAACGATTGAGTATAATGGAAATAAAACAAAATCACATAATTATTATGAAATAGTGAAAATGCTTATGCTTATATATAAATGTTTTATACTCAAAATGCTGTTATGGTTTTTTTGTTTGGCATTTCTGTCATTTATCAAAATTATAATTATATCAGCAAATCAAAGTGTTTTAATATACACTTAAGATTATTTTTATAAATGATAGCCTAATTTGTTGATAAGGTTTGCATGTACAGTTTGTACAATTCATGATAACGTATAAAAGGTTATTATTATTTTGCAATGTAGCTGATTTCTATCACTTGTTTTCATCTTCCCTCGAAGCGTGTCATTGTAAGTAATAAAACTGAAATACGACGATTCACTTAAAACAGAAAGTTGCCGTCTTTTCATCATTTACTAGCGAAATGTTGTCGCGCAACATGATAAAATGAAATCAATAAGTATATGTTTGCCTGTTGTTGCATTGTGCTTTTATAAATTTGCTTTAGTCATAATAATTATGATATTGTTTTCTTTACTCATGTACAATTTATATTAGGTGTTTCGTTTAAATTTAGGCTCAGGTGTTAGTATACAAACAACAAGCAGTCTGGATGGTGAAGAATCATATGAATGTGGCAGGAATATAACATTATCCTGTATGTTTAAGAAGAACACATCTGTCATTGTTTGGGGAAAGGAAAACACTATTTTACGAATTGCTCGATGTGATAAAACTACTTGTACTTTAAATCCTGCTTACATTGGCCTGTACAGTATTTCATTCGACATGACGCAGGGCATTTTCAACTTGACAATTATTAAGGTCACCGCGGAAGAAAACGGAACAAAGCTAATTTGTTCAGATGGATCCCATAGTGATTCTTACATTATAAGAGTCTATGGTATGTCTGTCTATCAATTTAAATTACCAGTATTTTTATGTAAATGCACCTATTTACACCAAACTTTAAAACAGATTGATCTCATTTGTGCTTTTTGCATTTATACTATGAAATCTTTCCAACTACTTGTAATTCTAGTTCTATAAAAGCCCATTTACGATTTGATTGAGATTGAGCATTTTAAACTTGCTAAATGTATGAAATAACGAAAATTACACCTACATTGTGAAAAATGCCTGGTAAAGTATATCTAACGATTTTTTGATTTAAATTATTTCCATATACCACTCTGTACAATCCGCTAACTTTACACCACAAAACTATATTTAACAATTCTTACGTGAACTCATATTTATTGTACGTAAGTTATGGCTAGGTCAAAATGTCCCTCGCCTCATATTTTCCCGATGTATTAGGAAGGAAAGAAACGTTACAGGACTAATTGAATCATAGTTTAAAAACCTTTTCATTGAAAATGTATTGAGTTAAATCGTATATCTGCTAATGTACAGTGCGTTAACTGGAATGTATGTTTTAATTAATCACACAGGTATCGCACTGTCTGTCGTGGAAAAAAGACCATGTTCGTTGATTGGCCACTTCTTATTATCGGAGTTTACCTCTTGTGAAGACAGTGAAAAGAATACCGATAGAAATGTCTTATTTAGATGTTTGTACATAATTGGTTAATGTTTTGGGGGGTTGCGTATTGTGACGACAGGGAATGATTTTCATCTTTGCTCGTGATACAAGGATAAGAAAAAGGACAGCAAAATACACAGCAATCTGATTTATTTATAATTTACAAATAAGATAGCCTCGTGTTTCAATGCTCAATCGTTTACTTACCATACCAAAACGCTTAATATTTTGCATCGCATGTCGTCCTGTAAATCTCTACTAACTTATGCAAACCTTTACTCATTTCTATCGGTAATTAAAAAAGTTCCATAAAGGCAAAAAAAAAATAAAAAAAAAAAAAATAAATAAAAATAATTTTCTCCAGACCAACTATACGTAGACATTGAATGATTGCATGAAAAACATTTCTGATGTTGTTGCAAGTTCGTTGTATTTGTAAAGATTTTCTTTACAGTATTTTAAGGACATGATTAAATAAATACTTTTATGCTTTCAGACCCAGCTGTTATTATATCTAAAACAGACAGTCTTGGTGACACAATTCAAGCTGAATGTGGTAGAAGTCTCTCGTTATCGTGCAAGTTTAGGAAGAACACATTGGCAATTGTATGGAAGTTCTCGGACGATATTTTACCAATAGCAAAATACGAACAAAACAGTTGCAGTTTAAATCCTAATTTTGTTGGACAGTTCAATTATTCTCTCGATCAGACACGATGCATGTTTACGCTGACAATAATAAAGGTGACTCAGAAATACAACGACAGAAAACTAGTGTGTTCAGATGGTACTCATAGCGACTTTCTAATTATTAAAGTAGGGGGTAAGTCTGACATATCTTAATTTACTATGTACAGTATTTTTAATATATTATTATGTAAAATATACATACAGTTTAAAATTCATTATCACTGTTGTGCCTTTTGCAATCATTAAGCATACTTTATATACATATTGACAGCAGTACAGGAAACATATATTTGGGTGGAAGATCATGAAAAATAAATATTGAACGTATCATTCGAGTCTACTTGAGTATTTGTAAAATCGGAAATGTAAAAAAATATATATAAAAAAAGCAATTAAGGACAGCGTGTTCTAATATTCTCAGTGTGTGATAGCAAAATGTAAGATAAAACAATGAGATAAATTTCTTTGACACAAAACAACAACAACAACAACAAAAAAAAACAACAACAAAAAACCAAACATCAAACAAACTAATGCACATAACATCGTTATGAGTCTTGGATATTAGCCAAATAATTTTGTTAGTTCCATAAGTTCCTTATTTCAATCAAATCTATGCCAGATCTGTTTTGGACAGAGACCATAAATTTGCAATTTTCAAAAAGCAAGAAAAAATTCTTCAAGTAAATACAAACAGTAGTTTAAATAAAGATTACTCCTTTTTTCTAAATTCATAAGGGCCATTTTTCAGTCAAACGAGATATCAGAGTTAAGGGCCTACGATAATGACATCCAATAATGATCTTAAGACGTGTATTCAGTTTCATGCGAATACCTTCAATTGTTATAATGATTTACAGAGCACAAAAAATCAAGAACTAAAAGTTTCTATATCTCCATAGGATCATTATTTTGTTAAAGATAGATATATAGTTAGGGATCTTGGAAAGTGACCTTCATTCATGATTCCTTAGTCATTTAGTTAGTTTTAAGTGGATGCATTAAGTTGTCTTGAATAATAAATGTTGCAAGAGGCCATAATTCAGTCAAAATCTATGTCAAAATTAAAGGCCATCGAAAGTGACCTTTGGTTATTATCTTGAAGTAATGAATTAAGTGGCATGTGAATAACTTCAACTGTTTATATATTGATATTGCATGCAAATCTTTAAGCAAGAACTTCTTAGTTCATATAGGAACTCGATTCTGTCATAATCCATGCTACAATTATGGACCCTGGAATATTATATTATTTTATTGGTGGATAGTGACCTCTGTTATGCGCAAGCAAATATCATAAATGATATTACATGAACAGTTTTAATCAACATATTACGCCGATGCAAACGCCGGAGCCTGAGGTTAAGTAGGAAAGCGCAACTATTTTTTTAACTGTAGAGTCAACAATGCAAAATTATTATACTCAAGATGTTTTAACATTCTTATGTTAAATATGTTGGCGATATCTTAAAATGTTTAATGTTATTAAACACACTTTGAACATGAAACGCATAATAAAAATCTTCCAATTAAGACATTTTGAAAAAAAAAAATGATTAAGAATATTTTTTAATTCGGCCTTCGTTTAATTAATGACCAATTCTACAGACTATAGAAAGGGACATACATTTTATTTTGATTTAGATGCATATCTTCCTCATTAAACAATATAGAGTTACGAGTTTTATCCACACAATACTTACTTTATTTTCCTACTTTATAAAATGCAGTTGTCGATTTAAGCTTCTACTAGTTCAAACAAGTTCTTGAGCAATTAAGGTTATACTGATTATCAACCACCTGTATGGTTTCCTTGCTTAGCCTATAAATTATAAATTATGTAGAAATTTGCATGCATGTAAATATTGGTAATACCAGCTGATTTTCAGATGTATGAAGCATATAAAGCAGTCAAGTTACCACAATTCATGTATATTTGAAATGGCGTTTTAAGAATATATTTTTGAAGTAACAATATGCCCATCTACGCAAGAATAGTGGGTATATAGATCAGAGCAAAGATAACTTAAGATTACCATAATTGTTTTTTTTTTTAATTTTATAGTCTAGTTCATGTGTGTTATCAATCACCAATGTGATGTACAGACAATTCTATCAATATCAAATAATAACGTTCAATTGATAAAAGTTAAACATTTTTTTAAAAATATTTTATGCAGTTGTTGAATTTTATCATTCTAATAATCAAATATTTGTCAATCTGTTTGAATATACAGCTTAACTCGACAACGAAACAATGAAATATCGTTATTCTTCATTTTCCTTTGGAGTCAATGGTTAGAGACCATTACTCTCAACGTATCCGACAAACATTCCGTCGCCGGGGTATAAAACCAGAGACCTTTTGATTACACATACAATGATCTTCCTATTTGGCTTATCGAGCAGATTTCAGTGCTATTAAAAAGACGAGCACAAGTAATAATGATATTTGTTGATAAAATACTTAAAGTGTTAAGATGTCAGCTCGCTTTATTTTTTCTCATTACTTGTATAATAAGTAAATCATAATATCCTTAGTAGTATTCAATTATCCAATTTTAAATTATCAAATCGTCATTATATGAATTAAATGTCAAATGTCAAGAAATTTAAGACAAATCGATACATAATATTGCAACACCCATCTTATACTATGTTCCTTTTTTCTGTGTGTCTTTTGTCAATATTATCTAAGTGGAGTTGTCCTCTCAAGAATTACGCAAAGAGGAAACTACAATGACACACGTTACCATTAATTTTTTTCTTATGAATGATCTGATATGGAACACTGTTATGTATTTAAGTTCTGCATATAATTATACAAACGTTTCTTAATATAATAAAAGTGTATGTTATGGAAATGTTTGAACAATACATGTAAAATGTGTATGTATGGTTTGTGTTACAGGCTATGTGCCACGACTTATAGAGGATCAAAACCTTGGTGCTATACATGCGACATCCGGTTGTGTTTCTCGAGGCATGAATGTTTCGTTTAAATGGGTGAAGATAAATGTATGCTTCTTTTTATGAATCTATTTTTGATTATATTGTTTATATATTGATTTTTATCAAACGTTGAAAAGAATGGAGAACACAACAATGGCGTGTTATTTGATAACCTAGTTAGTTAATGAACATTCATTTGATAATAAGATAAAATGTATAAAAATTCAAACATACAGGCAATGCTGAAACCCTCTTTAAATACAAAAAGGGCATTAAGATAACATACTTATTTGGCAGGGATGGCTCTTAGAAAATGAGCATCAAAAGCAAGAAAAAAGATCGGCTGTATGCTGATAAAGGAATCGTTGCAAGACATATTTCGTTTGCCTTAAAAGAGAACATGGAATTGTATGTTCTTCAAAAAACAACAACAAAAAAAAAATGTTCATTATTGTAGCAAGGTAAAATGTCTATATATAACAGTTATAAGACATCAAAATGTTTAAAATCTTATTCAACGCAATCTTATGTAATAATTAGAAAGATAGTCAATAATGAATATCTGGCAGGTATTTTTTCAGTTTATACCGATTTATGTTAATTCGATTGTGTAGGAAAATATAAGCTTATTGCAAAACTCTCGAACCCGTTAATTATTTACCTTTAGGTTGTAAGTAAAGAAGAAAAAGAAATACAACAGATGTTAAATTACTCAATTACCAGTTGCTTCAATGACTCTGACTGCGGAAATGACCAGGAATTACAATATACACAGACAATGTTTGCTAAACCTAGTGATAAAGGGAAATATTATATAAAAGTTGTAGCTGCATACGGGACTGAACAGAAAGAGACATTCAAAACAGATGCTAAATACAGGATTGATGAACAAGGTTGTATGCTTTATGTTGAAGAACATTTGTCTCGGAGCACATTTGCCTTACGAAAGACCGATGCAGTCGCATTTGTCCCACATGATACAGTTGGGACCACAAATGTCTATCCAAACACATTATATATATATGTGTGACAAATGTGCTCCGATCAAGTTTTTAAGGGACAAAAAAGCACATTTGTCTCATATTTTTAACGGACAAGAAAGAAGATTGTCTCATGTTTTTAAGGGACAAGAAATTAAGTTGTCTCTTGCCCTTTTGTTTATAACTTATTTGTCAAATATTTTTTAATGGCAGAAAATATTCTTAGAATAGAGGTTCGCCGTTTAACCTCATGTCCAGTGGTATTATCAATTGGTTTGCCTCTGTTTTTTTTAATGAAATCTTAAACCTAAAACCTACAGTGTAACTATTAATTTTAATATTTCTAATTCAAGAAATTTGATTGGCTGAACATGAAAGCGTACTCTGGTACAGACGGAATCTTGTTCACGATTGTACAATTGTGAAAGCGCGATGGTATGATTTTGAAACGCGATGTTTACGTTTGTGAAAACACGACGGTACGAATGTGAAACAACGATTACACGAAGGTGAAACAACGAAGGTGAACGGAAGAAGGCACGATGAAAATTGTGATGATACATGTACGATGGTGAAAACAGGATGTAACGATCTTAAACATACGATGGTACGACGATGAATCTCGTGCTTTCACCATAGTTTTATCGTGCATAGCGGTTCAGGGAGACAAACAATGCTACTTTTGTCCAAACGAAACACCGTAATCGGGCGATATTTGAACGATACAATATCGTGACTCGTTTTGCATCTCGCCGGCATCTCTCGGCTCGTTTCGCATCTCGTACGTCGACGCGAGACAAGAATATCGTTTGAGGCCAAATACCGCTAATTGTATTTCCTTTATATTCTATATAAAACTGACATTTTTCAAAGAGATACAAAACATAGCTAGACCCATTTTAAAATACACATTTTTATCACATTTTAAAGAGTTATTTATAATGATAAAACTGATATAACATGATGAGAAAAGTAGGGTTTATGTATATTCAAATAAAGATTTGTAGCGTCACATTTGTTATTGTTAAGTCACTAAAAAATTACACTTCTGTGACACGGAATAACCACCTATACCAAAATTGAAATTCATTTTATCAAATACAACCTTTGCTCGCAGTTGTTCTCCCAAACTTAAAAAAAACATATCCATGATGAAATTTAAGCAGAAAACAACTTAAATCTAAACGCCTATAGCCGTTCAGAGTTAAAAGATAATCCACCATTACGAGACAAGACCAGATGGTCTGAGCTGGTTATTTTACCATAGTCAGGCCTTTGAGAAGCACGAAGCGATGCGCAACATTTTACCGGGAGACACAAAAAGCGAAATTCCGGCAAAACATGAAGCGAGTCACGATATTCTACCGTGAAAGCAGCACTTCTCAGAAAATGGGATATTTATGTATATATTTCTGATTAAAACAAAATACATGTGGGTTAGGTCTTAGATCATTAGGGTCCTCCGTGGCGGAGTGATTTCAAAAGAAGTACTACTTGCCGCTAACCGCTGTAGGTTCGACACTCACTCTGGACGTCGGACTATTCATGCGAGGAAGCCCGTCCAGGGTCCTTATGTGGAATACCTATCCGCGTGCGCACGTCATAGTTTTCACGTGAGCACGCAAACACTTTCACTTTAGAACTAAAAGCTTTCATGTGTGCATGTAAGAATATCGAGTGACCACGTAATAGCTATGGCGTGCGCAGTAATAAATAAGAAAATTCTATGTCTTCTTTATGTCACTTTATATACTACCTTGGTGTTGATTAGAATATATCCTAAATCATTAAAAAAATTATAAAACTTTAAGCATCGGAAAAAAAACGTGTCACAATTAAACAACGATAAAAATGGACTCGCTGCATATGCGTTTGGGTTCGGGATACTGCACTTGTAAAAAGTTTTATTGTGACATGCAGAACAGGGATATTTTAAGTTAATATATGACTCCCATGCAGAAGCAGGAAGTTTTTGATTGACCGAAAGTGACTCAAAACGGTATTATAAAAACAGAAAACACAGAACTTTGGCTGGTAGGGCATAATTATTACATTTTTAGAATTTTATGGAGGAATGTGAGACAAATGTGCTTCGAGTGTTCTTTCTATTATATGTCGAACATATCTGTCCCATTTCCAGTTTGTCACAAATATGAATGTTAACGAGCACATCGTTCACACATCGTGAGAGACAAATTTGCTCCTATAATGCTAACTATTATGAAAATTTAGCTTCTAATGAAAAAAAATCAAATTCTAAAAAAACGCACTAAAACGTAAGCTGTAAAATATCGCACGTTTTCTTTTTATTGACTTTCTTTCGCAACGGGTGTGGTAATATGCAACGCTCTTAGCTTCGGCGTACGCAAAATTCAACATTGACATATGGACATAATTAAACTTTGAATTCGCAGATGCTTTCGGCGCCGGTGAACCTTCAGTTTTACGGCTAGTGTAGTTCATCTTCTATGTAAGTCGATTGCATCTATTTGGAACAAAAATTATCTTTCAAAGCGAAACTTGACCATAATTTACATGGTCTTACATAAGTCTGTTCTTACATAAGAACATGTTAGCTTAACAATGACAATTTTCAATTATACAAAGGTGTTATTTTGTAGACTAAGAAAGGAAACTATACAACATAATATTAGTGTCTTTTAGCATTTTTCTTTGAAATACCGAAATACATTATATTATTTACTTAGTATACAAAAACATTTCGTTGAAAAAATAATCTACTGATCGTCTTTCGGGAAAATTGAATACCGCTTAAGTATACGCTGGGGGCGGGTGAGATATGTTGCGCTTCTTCTTATGCACAGACTTGTTCAAACCGAGATGGCACTTTTCCACCACTATGCTTTTGTTACGGGACGAATATTTATCAGTTTTTGTTATGTCAGAATATCAACGAGTTAAATTTAATTCATACATATAGCAAAACATACGTTTGATATTATCATTTATTTCTGTTAAATGTTTAAAAATTGTTTTATAATCTCTTAAAAATATGATTATTTTAAAGTGAGGTGAATCGTCAATTTATTTCAAGCGAATCGTCCCTGAAGTGTGGAAAGTTATGCTTAAAACGATTCACTAATGGGTACTATAAAGACATTGGCAAGGATTTCAGCAAAAGTGATCCAAATTTTAACTCATTACTCACAATAAATGAATAATGATAAAACAATTCATATTTTGTAGATAACAAAAACAATGGAACGGAATCCACCAGTGTTTCTATTGTTATTATACTTTTGCCTGTTGGTGTTCTCCTTACGTCTATAATGTTATTATGTAGTCTAATGTTGTTTATACGTCGTCAATGGTCGCTTGAACGTCATCGAAGGTTGCTTGAACGTCGTCGAAGGTTGCTTGAACGTCGTCGAAGGTGAATATCATAAGGTCTTAAAATACATATATCAATATGTTCAGTCTTGATTTGCTTGTCTTAAAATCGATATCTTAATTTTAATTTATAACAAATAAGGAACAAAGTTACCAAACTACTGTACAAACTATGAAAAATGATTAAATATATTTCAACATAAACGCATTCTTTAGAAATACTAGTACAAACGGCAACACAGGCACCAATGAATCCAACACACCTGAAATGGAAAGTTTACAAGACGCTGGATACGTATCGGGACACAACTCAGAAGCTAGCTCATTTATGAGGTGAATATCAGATAAGTTCTAAAAGATTTGTTTAATGATAAATACAAAATATTCAAAGTATACAAATATCAATTTAATATAAATATCACCTTTTAAATCTTGATGCAACATTGGTAATGTTTTTATTTGTTTTTCTCACTGGCAACGATTTTTCACAAAATAAAAAACTGCTGGTTTTACAAAATATGTTAATCTTTAAATCGATTACTCTTTAGAGTCGTGATAGATAATCTTTAATTCTAAGTTTAAAACGAATTTCTACTCGTTCATTAAAATGATAATTAATTTTTCTCAATCAAGTGACATTTTTTTTCTGAAATCATCGAAAATCGAAAGCTATATTGATTTGATATCAAAATTATCATGTTTGTTTTAAGTATGTTCAAAAGGTTACGTGGAGTTCCACATGAGAGCGCAGATAAGGGCGTCTGCTGGGTTTTAAATCATACATCAGAGGATATCGCTGCAAGTGCGTATATATCATTTCAATTTATGTTAATCTCTGTTAGCTCGAGAATTTGATTAAAAGATAGTGATTGTGTCATTTTATATGAAATCTCTTCTTTGCTTGTATTTCAGCTAGGTATGTCAGAACCACAGTTTTTTCTTTTTGCACTTATATAACTTATGCGCCAATTAAGTATACTTTAACAAAACAGAAAAAAACAATACTTATTAGAAACGTTTGACAATCCTTGCATATAATGTTTCTTAAATTATTTTTTAATATTAATGTTTGGTTTGAATATTTATTTGTGTTTGAATTGTAGGTGAAACAGAATTATGAAAAAGATTCGTGGTTTTAATTAGCAAAACAGGATCCCGTGTTAAGGCAAAAAGTACTGAAAATATTTTTATGAAACTTGATATATGGATAGACTGCATTTTGCACGCCTTTTTCGTTTCTTCATATGTTGAAAATTCTGGTTGCTATGGCAACAAGTAGACTGAATATATGAGAAATTTAACGCAAAAACTAGATCCAGTGATAACGCAAAAGTAAATGTTGGGGATCACAATAGTAAGCCACATTAAATTCACCAGAGCACAATTCAACCGCCGCATCGTTTTAGGACAGGCTGGCACACAGTTTACCAGTACTAGTTGCAGGAATTGAAACTTCTGTACATGCCAGAGCAGAAGTACAGCGGAAAAACAATGGACGAAACTGAATAAAATGGAATTTTGAAAGGGGATCAGAGGTCATGAAGCCTGCATATCACAGATAATACGTCAAGGGACAAAGTTAAAAAGCAGGCAACATATCCTAAGGGTGATTCAACATTATTCAAGTAGAAATATATTGGAACCAGCCAACTAGAAAATGCCAAATATTTAAAATTAAAAATACCATAAACATTACAATAATGAACCATAAGACCAGCAAATTAGTGTGTGATTATAAATAAATATATGGATATAAATGTTCTCATACAATTATTATTATTTTTAATATTGTATTAAATTTAGAAACGGACATTTCGAACATATTGTTTTAAGATCGAATGCAAAGCTTTTTGTGATAGCTTTTCATTTATATCATTATTGAAGTGAGTGATTCAGCAAAAGCACGGATATTGTTTAAAATTTGATTGGTAGAAACATACATTAAACAACAACACCAACAAAAACTAACAAAGAAAACAATAGCATGGTGATAAAAACATGCAATCTTGAGTAACTGTAATAAATATGTTCTGCAAGTTAGGTAATTAGACCTGCATGGTAGGTAATTAGACCTGCATGGTAGGTAATTAGACCTGTATGGTAGGTAATAAGACCTCTATGGTAGGTAATTAGACCTGCATGGTAGGTAATAAGACCTGTATGGTAGGTAATTAGACCTGCATGGTAGGTAATTAGACCTGCAATGGTAGGTAATAAGACCTGTATGGTAGGTAATAAGACCTGTATGGTAGGTAATAAGACCTCTATGGTAGGTAATTAGACCTGCATGGTAGGTAATAAGACCTGTATGGTAGGTAATTAGACCTGCATGGTAGGTAATTAGACCTGCATGGTAGGTAATTAGACCTGTATGGTAGGTAATCATCCTGCATGGTAGGTAATTAGACTGACATTACTTATATAAATAATACATGTAGTACATGTATGTTTTATATTATACATCAACATGTTACATGTACAATAGATGATGTAAAGTTTATAAATTGTATTAACATTATTAAGTAACATATATATGCATAATATTTGGATTGAAAACTCAATTTATAGACCTATGTATCCATAAAGCTGATTCAGATGTACATTTATTTTGTTGTCTTTTTTATTTATTTTTTGCACATTCCTTGTCTGTTTTTGTATTTTTATATATAATATATATATATATTTTACTCTTGATTGTTTACCATCCTTCACTTGTACCTTATATTGTTATCTCATACTGAGACCTTTTGTGTAAAACATGTATAAATAAATAAATAAAATAAATAAATAAATAAATAAACTGTGCATAGTCATATTAATTTATGTGTTCATTTAATGTATAGTTTTGCTATTGTGATTGTTCCTAACTTCTATAGGTTCAGCGGCTTGGCAAAGCCAGTGCAAAAAAATCTCGTCCAATCCTAGTTTCATTTCATTATCGCCATCAGCGTGAAAGATTGAGAGCAGCTTCGTTCGAACATGCCGACGATTTGAAGGAAGCTGGACGCGGGATAGGGGCCCACCTCGCAAAATCCGTTCGTGACGCCAGAGTTCCATCGTATCCCATAATGAATCAAGCAAAAAAGGACGGCAAACATGTCAGATTTGTTGGCAAAAAATAAATTATTCGTTGACAATATTGAAGTTAAACCGGATTCGTATTAGCGGGGTCATGAGGGGTCTATCAAGATACTATCATGGAACGTTCACGGACTAAAAAGAAATTTATGTGACAATGACTTTTTACAACTTATAAATAAAAATGATCTTGTTTTATTAAATGAGACGTGGTTGTCAAAACTTGACACAATTAATTATGATATTCATGGCTTTCATAGTGTACATATACTCGGAAATAAATCTTTAAATACAACAAGAGGTAGAACGAGTGGTGGCATATCTCTTTATTATACACATAAGATAAGTAAGTACGTTTCTATTGTTGATAAAAATCAGTTTGGCTACATTTGGGTAAAATTAGATCGTTGTTTATTTGACTTTAACGATGATGTGTTTATTTGCCATACATATATTACTCCTTCTACCTCGAAAGTTATAAATAGAGATCAATTTGACTTTTTTGAAAATATTGAGATTAATATTTTAAAATATAAGGAACTCGGCAAAGTATATGTTACTGGAGACTTTAACAGTCGAACCTCAAATGAACCAGATTTTTTCATGCATGATAAATATATTGACCATAATATGCCATATATAAACAGAAATGATATTCCTCCCAGGTTTAACCGAGATAACGTGATTGATTCTCAAGGTAAACGTTTAATTGACCTGTGTATATCCACAGGCTTCATAATAGCAAACGGTCGTCTGCTCTCGGATAAAAATATTGGGTCTTTCACTTACTGCTCTAGTCAAGGGGAAAGCACTGTGGATTATTTGCTGATATGTCTTGAGGATTTATCTACCTTGATTGACTTTCAAGTTATGCCGTTTAATGAATTTTCGGACCATGCGCCCTTGTTCTTCGAACTTAAATGTAAGAAAAACAATGAGACCACTTTTAATTATTCATTTTCTGGTAACAAACAAACAAAAATTTTATGGGATAATGCAAAAAATTATGCATATGTAAAAGAATTAGAAAATTGCAGAAGCGAATTTATTGATTTAACCAATGCTCTTGAATCAAACCCAATAGACGCTGTAATTAATTCATTTTCATCTATTTTAGTTAAAAAAGGTCAAGACTTATTTGCGAAGAGTATACCAAATAAGCTAAATGAATACAATCACATGCGTAAATGTAAATGGTTTGATAAAAACTGCGTAAACGAGAAAATTACCTTCAATAAAGCACGAAATAAATTTATTAGAGACAGAAATGACATAAATAAAAATAACTTCATACGTTCGAGAACAAAATATAATAGAGTTAAGAAGAGTGCTCAAAATAGGTTTAAAATAAATGAAGGAAAAAGACTACAGAAACTAGTTAAGAATAATCCTAAAACATTCTGGCAAACCTTGAATAATACATGTAAAAGAAAATCATCACAATCACAAACACTAACAGTGAATGACTTATATAACCATTTTAAGACTCTTTTTGGTGATACATCGCAATCTATAAATGAAGAAAATTATGAGAACCACACAGACGAGAAATTAGATAAAAACTTTAGTGAAACTGAAATTAGAACCGCTGTAGTTTCACAAAAAAATAACAAATCTCCAGGGACAGACAATATTATCAGCGAAATGCTTAAGTCAGCATATGATATTATATCACCATTTTTGTGTAAGTTATATAATAAAATTTTTAATTCAAATGAATATCCTATCTCATGGGGAGAAGGAATTATTGCACCAATATTTAAAAAGGGTGACATTAACGAATCTAAAAATTATAGAGATATCACATTAATAAATATTTTGGCTAAAATTTATTCACAACTTTTACTTAATAGGTTAACCATATGGGCAAATGAACATGACAAAATTTCAAAAAATCAATTTGGTTTTCAGAAAGGGAAGTCAATTATTGATTGCATATTTATTTTACATTCTATAATTGCTAAAGTCATCAATTCGGGGAAGAAATTATACTGCATCTTTATTGATTACCAACAGTGTTTTGATAAGATTGAAAGATCATTTCTATGGCAAAAACTTATTTCAGAAAACGTAAGTCTCAAATTAGTGAACGCTATAAAATCTATGTACAAGACTGTTAAATCATGTGTAAGGTATAAAAACTCATATTCAGAATATTTTAGCTCAAATATAGGCCTAAAACAGGGAGACCCCAGTTCATCTCTTCTTTTTATACTGTTCGTCAACGACATAACACAATATATTAATTCAGACCTTGATGGGATTTTTACTTTAAACGAGCTTAAACTGTTTCTACTTCTATATGCCGACGACCAGGCACTATTTTCTTCTTCGCCAGTTTCCCTACAGTTAATGTTAAACGATGTCGTTAATTATTGTAATATTTGGGGATTAAAGATTAATACTTGTAAAACAAAAGCTATGATTTTTGAACGTGGCAGACATACGACATTTGATTTTTACATTGACAACACTCTAATTGAAATAGTTCCCTCTTTTAAACATCTAGGAATAACTTTGTTTAAAAATGGTAACTGGTTTCGCACCCAAAAAAGTATTTCGCAACATGCTTCATATTCTTTATTTAATTTATTTAAAATACTTAATTACGCCGAATTTTCAATGTCCCAAAAGCTTTCGTTATTTGATACTCTTGTCGGTTCCGTTCTTTACTTTGGTTCACAAATATGGGGCAGTCATAAAGCGCCAGATATCGAAGCTGTACATACAAAATTTTTAAGACGGGTTCTTTGTGTCAAAAAGTCAACCAATTTATGTGCACTATATGGTGAAACTGGACGATTACCGATGGAATGTAATAGAAAAATAAATATGCTTAAGTATTGGGTACACATATTAAAACAAGATCAAAATTCGCTTATTAAACAAACATTTCTCATGCTGAAAATTCATACAGACAATAGAAATAATTTCTCTCAAAATTGGGCAACTCAAATCAAAATGATATTAGATAGTCACGGTTTCAGTTATATTTGGCATTGTCAGTTTGATATAGACATTCCGTTTGAAGAGATTAAGTTAAGAGTTATTGATACTTACAAACAAAATTGGTACTGTGAAATAAATAATTCTAGTCGCTTACATTTTTATTCAATATACAAACACGATTTTATGTTGGAGAAATATTTTTCAGATGTTTGTGAACAAAAATTTAGAATAGCTTTAACTAAATACAGAATATCAGCACATAATTTACGTATTGAAACTGAAAGATATGACGACACACCCAGGCAAAGTCGACTATGAACCTTTTGCAATTCTAATCAAATTGAGGACGAATATCATTTCTTGTTGGTCTGCCCTTACTATAGAGATATAAAAATAAAATATTTGCCAAGTTATTTTTGCCATTGGCCAACAATCACAAAGTTTGAAAGTATCTTATCATCTAATTCTAGAAAACTGTCTCAAAATTTATCAAGATATTTATACTTTGCCTTTAAAAGAAGAGGTAATTAACATTTTTCTCTTAATTTATGTAGTAATCTTTATGTTTTTCATCTCAAAAAAATCAAATCAAGTTTTATATTTTTGTCATATAACAAATATCCCTCCGCTAACACAGATTTCATAACATTTTGTTTTGCATATTGTTGCTAATAACTATGTTACCTGTCTATTATTATGCTAGAAACGTTGTTATAATGTTTAAAGCAAATAAACTGTATTGTATATAAATAAATAAATCAGCCAGTAGGTAAGTTTTTCGGAATATCTTTTTATAAAAGAACAATTCAAACACATGGTATCAATTTGCATATATGGCTGTAATAATTTTTATTGCACTTTGTTGTAACTACTGTATTATTCTAAGTAAATAAATATATATTGAGATTAATTCAGAAAAATAAAATATTTAAACAATTGTTTACTATTTAATTTTCCATAATACTTTGGACATATATTTTTGCTGTCGCTAACATGTATTTTCCATAAAAAATGCATTAATTTTATATTGTTACAGGACAAAGTTTCTTTAAAAACTTGAAGGAAATAAATTCATTTTCAATGTTAACAAATAAGTACTGGGGTCTGGAGAATGCATTTCAATTTAAAAATTCGCGTTCACTAGAATGAAATTGAAATTGTTGACAAGACAACTGCCAGTTTAGCAGCCCTTCAAATTTCGCTTTCGTTTACAGGACTGTAGTGGCATTTTCACCAAATTGGACGGCATGTACAATCCCTATACATGTAAACAACTAAACAAATATAATATAGATCTACTTGTGTTAAAAACAAAATTCACTTACCTCTTTCTTCAGTTGTTACGCATGCAAACGGGAGATCGTGCGCCTCTCATAATTAAACCATCAAATAGAATTTAAAATGACACAGTTCACTGATTCACATTTATTCCAAAAAATCTAATAAAAATATGAATTACTGTCAGTTTCCACAGACAACATTTAATAACCCAGTACGAAGAAATCAACTTCTACCCTTAATCAGATTACGTGTGATTAAGTCCGAGACAGATGAAATCCACGTTTTCCATGACATTAACCTAAACCTGACACAATGACACAATTACGGCATAACCTGACTGACCTACATGGCATAATTAATGATAATTAATGAGTTATAACTTTATTAAAATATCTCCAGGCCGGGTCGCGCATTACTAATATCTATGTGGACTGGTATCAGTAT